CACACAACACAACACAACACAACAACATGTAAGCCCCGCCCCCACCACCTCTATCCGCTCAACAAAGCGCGTAAATCACGGATAGACGAGCCCGCTAAGCCGGCGTACACGCTCCGCCACTGACAGACAAACAAACACACACATGACAGACGCGCACCCGGCCCACAAAAACATACGTCATACGCCGGGTATAATTTAGTATAAATATAGGCCCTGACAGACCGATGCCTTCAGATTCCACTGGGCTTCCCCAGAAGACAAACGAATTCCAGCAGACGAGAGAGGAAGTCTTTTTCAAGTCCCGCTCATCTCAGCAGACCTACGTGTTTCCAGAGTTGTTTTGGAGCCGACACATTTTATATTTCCTACCAGCCAAAGTAAGTGTACCCGGCACAGTACCCGGTATATGAAACGATAGAGTTCGGCTGATCACTGAGAACAAGTTGACTTTCTGTTGCTTGACTTTTGTTAGACATTTCATAACAAGGCCGTTCCGGTTATTTCACGGGCAAAATTTGCTTTGTAGAATGAAATTGCGGTTACGTTTCATCGATTTACATTTAGAGGGTCGCCGCGAAGACACAAATATTACCATTGTGGGAATTGATGGGGTATTTGTTGTATTCAGTTTCAGTAGAAGTATAAGCTAGTGTCCAAAAAAACCCAACTTTTATTAAAAACGAAAATGAACAAACAGATTTTTCAGATTGGTTAGATTACTAAATACATAAAATGATCAAAGCATAATAGATCATGAACTATATAAGAAACGATAGATGATAGATAATCATGTCTTAATTAAAAATAATTAGATCTAGTAAGAAACAATATTTTTAGTATAAAGTTTTCGTGAAACTACACATTGATAAATTAGTATCCATCTATCTATCTATCTATCTATCTATCTATCTATCTATCTGTCTGTCTGTCTGTCTGTCTGTCTGTCTGTCTGTCTGTCTGTCTGTCTGTCTATCTATCTAGACATCCAAGCGGAGACAATTAATATTTCTCAGATCAAGATCTGTGAATAACTAACGCTAACATACCCGGATCGATAATTACAACATACCAACAACATAACAACAAAATACCAACAACATACCAACAACATAACAGAAATATAACAACTTCCCTAACATGCCAGCTCAGAACCTTCTATTGATTTCTCATCTAGACATTTCCAATCTTTACACTAATTTTTCCCCTTCACTTTCGGAACATTCCCCTCTCTGTCCAGCCATCTGGCAGGTCCCAGGTGGTATATTCTTGTATTTCAAACGAAGCAGTTCAGTTTGGCCGCCAAATAATGGACTCCCGGTGAATTTTTAAGGACACTGGTTATTTTATCTCCGTTTAGTTTTCGTAAGAGTTTTACGGCACTTGCAACACAATAAGGTCATATTATAAGTGCCGAAGATTAGACTTTTTTTTACAAGAGAGTAACAAACATAAAAAAAGAAGGAGAGATCAGGACGATAGATGTTTGATAGGAAAGAAGGAGCAAACACTTCTATCTCCTTAAACTAATCCACTCATAATATTATGCTAGAGATGCATTCAGATATGTTGGTGGCACAGCCCTGCAGAAAGCATATGTGGGATTCTAAAGAGGGTCACAGAACAATAAGTCTCTCTCTCTCTGTCTGTTTTCTTGGGACAAAACGTCTTCTAAAAAAAGATAATTATTTAGTATCATGCCAATCAGTATTTTCAGAATATGACCTGTTCGCTTTGAGCGTGCTTGACAGATATACACAGCAATCTCCCAATATCTCCTTGAATGTTGTTCCTTTTGGCAGCGATTTACATACGGTGTGGCCTAGTAATTAGGCTCTCAGACTCGAAACCGTAAGGTCGTGGGTTCGAATCCCGTCAGGGACCCGACGTTGTGTCCTTGGGAAAGGCACTTTACACAAATTTTCCCCACTTCATCCACGTGGGAACGGGGGTACCCGGCTGTAGACAGTGAAATATTGTCAGTTTGGCGGTGTTTGAGCGCTTAATCAGCTGCTTGCACTGTATGCTTGCCGGGAAGCCGAGAATGTTTATGAGTGTTCTGTGGTCTGCTGGGGTAATAATATAGTGTAAAGCGCATAGAGTCTGCTGTTGACCGGGGGTATGCGCTATACATATCATTTTTATCATTATTATTATTATTTTATTATTATTATTATTATTATTATTATTATTATTATTATTATTATTATTATTATTATTGTTATTATTATTATTATCATTAATATCATTATGGTTACAGAGCATCTCACGATATGACGACCACCCAAATGTTTGCGCTCCTGGTGTGTGTGGGCGTGGCCTGTGTGTTGCCCCGCCCAGCTGCCAGTCACGGGCGCCTGTACGAGCCCCCAGGGCGGAGCACCATGTGGAGGCGGGGCTACGACACGGAGGAGAACTATGACGACAACCAGCTCTTCTGTGGCGGCTTCTGGGTGAGTACCACAGGCAGAAGATAATATTCGGAGACGTCTCCGGCGAGCTCCCAGGAACTATTCGGAGACGTACTCCCGCACACAGATGCACTGCTTTGGAGGGTCAAACTGCGTATTGTTTGCTGCAGATCACACATGTAGCCACTAAAACTGTCGCAAATCAATCATTTTCAAGAAAATTTCAAACCTAACGGCAAAATATCAAATTATGGGTTAAAACGGGGGCATGCCCCTGTAACCCTCTAGATTTTTTTACTTGGTAAAGAGGCACAGAGCATTTTGATTGGTCTATCTCTGCTGGAGACGTCTCCGGATAGATACTGTTGAGTAGCACACCCCCCCTGTACAAGACGGTGTACCTATTGTTGGGGATAACAATGGTTGTCTTAGACAGGTCACCGACTTACCTAGTGTCATTGTACATGAACTTTTTTTTTTTTAATTGTAGAGTTTTTACGGCGCTCGTACCTGCATAAGGTCATATGAGCGCCAAGGGGTGGATGTCAACAGAGAAGTCCAAACGGGGAATCAGACTTACTCTGCTCACCTCTCTAGCCTCAACAGCACAAAGTCTGCTTCGACTATCGAGACACCCCGGAAATAGCAGTTCACAAGTGTGTGACAAACATACAAAAGAAGTAGAGGAGAATGACGATAGTAAGGATGAGGAAAGAAAAAGCTGCAGTTCCCCCTATATTGCTATGGCACAGTATGAGTATGGCATTGATAAATCAGCCAATTTACAATTCTACTGTGCATAAGAACATGTTAATGTCCTCCCTTTGGGAATGGCCTAAAGAATATCTTAGTTTGGAATCAACTAGGATTCTGATGTTTTATATATAACATTTTGAATTGGGAAAAATCTACTCAAGCCCCTCATTTGTTCGTTTCAAACTGAGACATATCATTTATTCTTTTGATCGTCTGCCGCCCACAGCACCAGTTCACCCGAGGCTACAAATGTGGCGTGTGCGGAGATCCCGTGGATGGACCCCTGGATAACGAGCCTGGCGGTAAATACGCTACTGGACAGATCACACGCACTTACACAGAGGGACAGCTCATCCACACCACCGTGCAAGTCACCGCGAACCACTTGGGTGAGTACACACACACACACTCTCTCTCTCTCTCTCTCTCTCTCTCTCTCTCTCTCTCTCTCTCTCTCTCTCTGTCCCTCGGAAGTGGTTATTCTCACCCCGGGTGAGAATAAC